ATATAGTTGAGGTTAACAACAAACTATTTGCACCTGATTACAACTACCGGTAAATGCAATATTATCAGCACCCCAATTCTTGTACTGTTAGGTAGATGATTTTAAAAAATTGAATTGAACATTTTGTCTCAAAATGGTTAATGTTGGTAAAAAATCCATTGCTTGACGAACTAAACTAATTTTGAGAATATTATGATATAACAATGTATATCAAAATATATCAAGTACATATGCAAATTGGTTCTGCACATATCTTATCTGAAGTTTCCAAATCAGACGAATTTGCATACAAAGTCATTATTGAGAAATCCCTAATATGAAGACAAAAGTAAAACAAATACAAATATCTATAGTTTGGGAATGGAATATTCAAATGATTTGATATTCTGTTCTACTTCGCGGTGTGACAGTCTGATTAACATTATACAATTTATAATAATTCATAAATTATACACACATTAATTCCGCCCCTTTTCTAGCATGCCTTTCATTTTGGGACCCTCGAAAACAAAGAAACTTTGAATAAACAAGTCAAGCAAGTGATCAATATACCCGCAATTACCCACACGTCAACAGCTCTCCTGATAACATATCTAAGAATACTTTACTTGGTATATGAAGTTATAAATTGAAGTGCCTCTTCGATCTAAAATCAGATGCAAATATATTTTGAATAAACATAATCACTTCTTTAAGTTGACACACAATTAATTAAAAGTTATATGATACTCGGGATAGGCCATTGCATCATTAAAAACAACAAAAATTTGAGGATTATTGACGTCATCTACAACACTGTCATAACAATCGGTTGGGTCATTTGGATTCTTAGGAGGTGGTACAAGAAGTTTTTCTCCACCAACAGTGAATTCACCAGTCAATACTTTACACTGGTAGACGTGCTTTTGACCGCTGGGATCTACTGGTGAGTAGATTCTCCTTGCAGAATACTCTGATTCTAGGGCAAAATAGCTCCCAGCCCCATACACAGTGGCTGTAAGCAAAATACAAGGACGGTTAGTAAAAGCGTGAATGGGCAAGGCAATTGCGTCGCTAACGCCTAGGTAAATAATCTTACACGATGACCACAGATTAGATGTGTTTGTCTGTTGGTATAAACATGTATATACACTTAAAAATTTTTTATTTACTCTTTCATATGAGTAACTCTTATTTATGGAAGTCTATATTAAAACAAGCAGCCTGTCGGCT